ATAAAGCGTCGTTTCAATTCTCTCTCTCTCTCTCTCTCTCTCTCTCTCTCTCTCTCTCTCTCTNAATATATATTTATATGAACATGTCCTTCAGGGTCACTTGAACAGTCGGTACTACAATTTTAATTCGGCAATATTAGAAAGATATTCCTTCGTATCAGTAAACAGATAGATATTTTTTAACAACGCATTAGATAGCTCTTCCGATCGTAAAGATATATCTTTCGAAGACAACTCTGGTGTCACAGGCCGAAAACGATAAAAATTCCTTTCGTAACAAATCAATAAAGGACATAAAACCTGGTAAGATTTACGCGACTTTGTATAACAGCAATTGTGATCAAATAGAGATAAGGAGGAAAGTGAAATCAATAATGAAATACTGATATAGGCAAGAAGGAACGGGTAATCTACTGGCTACGGTTAAGGGGCACACTAACAAAAACTAAATATGTGTTTTTTATCGTTTCCATGATAGAAGATTGTGATTTGATTCAACTATAATATGCTTTGTTTATGTTTGTTTGAATAATGTATAAACCAGTTACATCGCGGTTTTCAATCTGACCAAAAAATTCAATCTGACCGTAGATTCCAAATAAAACTATTTACTCAGTAGGAAATAAACCGTACTGCGAGTTGTTTTAGCAGGACTGTTCAATTGAATCAGGAGATTTAATTTCGAGGAATACCAGTCGTGTTGATAGGAGGGAATTTGATCCGGGATTGACACAGGTCCTTGAGCCTACGCAGCCCTAAGGATATAAACACGTTTGCGTAAGGAATTATTGTCTATGATTAAATCGGATGCTTCGTTTCTAAAGCCATGTGAAGTTTGATTTACGTTTTTAAGTACAAATTCTGGAATTAATCCTTATTTTATTTGCATTATACTGATCTTACTGTTATTTCTTTTGTTGTTGACTAGTTGTAACAAAATAAACCCTATCTTAAGTAGAGGTATGTAACAATGATAGAGGTAAGGAAAATCGAGAAAAAAAATTACATCTTTAAAATATTTCATTCCCATTGTATGAGATTAAGCTTCGTTTTTTTACGAGCATATTTCAACTACGAGGTGATTTGAACCCTTTTGAACCCCTTTGAACGAGGTGATTGCTGGTGTTTTTGAAAAAAAGCCTATTTGTAAGTCGGTTTCGAATGCAGGGCCGCTGGATTCGAACCCCGGACCTTTACCTTACAGTGATGAACGCCGTGTCAACGCCTAAATTTTGCGGCCGCCGGCGCATCTGTCACCTGAAATTACAGTGATATTTTTATTTCAATTTTGACTATTTGAATTATAAGTTTAATAATAAAAATAAAATAAGAGATTTTTAAAATATGAATAGTGAAATTAGATGTGATGATATTTCTAAATAAACGTGTCTTGTTTAATGAAAAGGTAAGACTAATTGTTTCAATGTTTCAGCAATTTAAGAACTTGTTACCTTGTCGGTTTGTTTTAATTGCACTGAATAAATTGTTAATTTGATGATATTTCAACAGCTTCCTCTAGTCTTTGAAACTTTTGTCTTGTTTGTCTGGTGGAAGTCAGTCAGAAACAGAATTCCGTGATTCAAGAATTGCTCTCAGGTATCTTTTCAATTTGGCGAGGATTCCACTCCAATTGTCTCCCAGAAACACGTCTAACCGTATCAGATTTTAGCCCTTGAAAATTTGTCCATTTAAAGTAAAGAGTCGTGTATCAGTTTGTATTAATTATCTTAGTTTCAAATGATATTTTAAGTTGATAATTTTAAATTAAATTTTCCACCGTGGAGTACAAAAAAGAGATGGTTTTTAAGTAATTTTTAATGATTCGAGAAATAAAAACAATGATTATTTGGAGGTCGTGAGATGCGGTCTGGTCTTCACGACCTACAAATAATCATCAAGTAACGGCCACCAAACACGACAAATAAAACAATTACTTAAGATAGATTTTAAAAAATTACATTAGAAGGTTTACAACTTTTCTGAAATTTCTTTTATTTAATTAAGCAATATGAACAAGGGGTCGAACAGTCGCACCACAACGGATCTTTCATCAGGGTTTTAAAAAGTCTGGATTTGGGCAAGTACCCAAGCAGTAAAGACCCAGTGGAAGACCCGTCTATCGATTCGGCTCAGGGGAGTTCACTGGGTCCTTGCTAAGTTCACAGTAGATCACACCGTCATAATAAAAATGTTCATATTTACAATTTTACATACACGTTTACAATTGATTGTAATGAACTTTGAAAGATCACCAGGTATTTATTTTGAATTCTTAAAATTAAACTATAAAATACGTGAATAATTCAGTATTGAAGTTTTATAAAAGTGTGTTACAATTTTTCTGGAGGAACGTCGTAAATAAAGGCTATTAAAAAATGTAACTTTGATTAATTTGGGTATTTGGCAATAAATGTTAAATAGTTGTGGATCTTTAAATTGTAGATAACATATTAACTAATTTTACAAAATTTGGTTAGCAAGTTGAATATATATATATATATATGAAGAAATGGCCAACTTTGGAAATTCATATTTTCTCAGCCTTTTAAGTCAACAGACCTGCACTAGGTCTCATTTCTTAGAAAATTTTTCGCTGAATAAGAATTTTTTAATGTTTCCCTACCTTCAATCATTTATATGAAAATTCAAAAATTCGGTATCATGTCAATTTTTGCACTCTTTACGAAAACTTCAAGTTGAGCTTTTGAGCCAGGAAGTCGTCCTGGAGCGACGCCCTACAATAGGAAATTTTAATTCACTTTCAATTGGGCACCTTCCACTTTGCCCGATTTCACAATGATTTTTGGGCAAAAACATCGTTGTTTTATACGTGCTCATGGAAAACACCGATTGATATGTCGCCCCATTTTCAAAAATAAATAACTTTTGAATTGTAAGATTTTTGCAAATTTTACGTTCTACAACGTTTGATCTTCCTCAATAACAACCAGATGATCCACCCTGTTATTTTTAAAAGGATTAACTTTAGCAAAACAAATGATCTTATACAAACGACAAGTTAATTTTTTGTTAATTTTTGTTACAAAAAGCATACCCCCCACGCGTCTTATGACTGGCATAACTCCTAAATGGTCGATCCTATAAAAAAAATTTCCTTTCAATAAAAGTGGCATGAAATAATCTCTAGAATTGAATTGTAAAATAAAAATATTGGATTCTCATTTAAATTAGCAAAGTTAGTGTCACTTCTCAGCTAAACGAGAAAGTTTTATCAAATCTGTTACCATCACGCTATCCTTGCCAAAATTAACTTAGGGTTGGTATTTTTTTTAAACGTTTAAAAAAATCCTGTTTTTATTGTTAGTATATTTTCTCATTTACGTTACTTTTTAAATTTTGATTTTGAGGTTTATGAAAATTTGGAGGTTTGATTTAAATCTCCAGAATAACGTGATACGGATAGAAACTTAACTATTTCAAATGGCTAGATATTCATCAATGTACATTTTTTTAACGTTTTGTCGCAGATTTCAACGTTTCTACAGATAAGTAAGGCAGTTCAAAACAAAGCAAATCTAAATGATTCCTTGATAAACTTCCAAGATACAGATGTAAAGTAAGCTTAGATAATATTAATGTGGGAAGTTTCGGGGCCGACGAACAGCTGAGGTCATCGCCGGCCCTCTTGGTGTTTTTACTTTTATGGTCTCTCACACATATTTTTCAACCTGCAGCCATTTGTACGCCTCAATCTGTTATTAATTGCCCGCTTTTATATGAAAACTAAATGATTTCCTAAAGTACTATCCTCTCATTTGTACCCCAGGTTGTCAACTGCAGAACAGATATAAAATATTATATATATATATATATATGTTTTATATCCCCACGCACATAGTTTTTCTAGAGTACTCGATATTCCTCCAGAACAATTCGAACCCACTCCATTCCCGCTTCTTTTCTTTTACTCCACGGCCGTCAAATACTGTCAAATACGTACCCCCAGATTACTTGATATCCCGTGGGAAGGGGTTAAACAACCTCTTCCTTTTATGATAATTAATTACATTCATTCCGATGAACATACCCAACAACACCCGATAGAAACATAGAAGTCTGGTCACAATCACTTCGCCAGAGTACTCGATACGATATTCCTCGGGTCAGGGATAAACAACCCCTTCCATTCACCCTAATAAGTTACATCCGTTCCCTTAAATTAGCATAAACACAACACCTCATACAAACTTAGAAGTCTGGTCACATTCGCTCCCAGGGAGTACTGGATATTCCTCGTAGCGTGGTTAACCACCCTCTTCCTTCTACCTTAATAAATTACATTAATTTCAATAAATTAACATAAACATATCATTGACACATACAAACACCAAAAAGGCACACAGTCTTACGATAAATTAAAATATTACCAATAAACGTCAAGCCTTCTACGATTGCAAATGTCCTCGTTATTTTATTCTTTCGAAATGGCCAGAAGGTGCCCATGATTCTGGTAAAATCTTGCATACTCTCGTCAGTAGGATTACGTTACTCTGATATTGACATTGAATGTAAACTTTTAAATTTTTAAATGTAACTCTTTTCAGCATTTTGTTATCATAGTTTCTGTTACAAGATTTTTTAAATTTATCAATAATTAGTAAAATTGGTAAATAGTAGATTGAATAACTATGCAGTGATTTTTCTGTTTGTGTGTGGTGTTTAGTGATCGTTAGTTAATGATGATTTGGAGATCGTGAAATGCGGTGACGTAAGTTTTAGAAAAACATTTACTTTATCCTGCCAACGTTTCGATCTTTATTGAGATCATCTTGACTCTGACTCTCAACACGACATAGAATAATGACACATCTACACAGAAAACAAACACTTTGAGCCCTGAAGATGATCTCAATAAAAATGGAAACGTTCGATAAAGAAAATGGTTTGTCGAAACCTACGTCAGACCAGACCGCATCTCACGATTTCCAAATAATCTCTTAGTTTTCGTTTATTTGATCTTTTTTTATTTCTATTTCCAGATAACATGGGTGAGGCGTCGAGACTGGCACATCCTCACGTCTGGGGTGTTCACGTACACGAACGACGAACGGTTCCAAGTTCTACACGCCGAGGGATCGGACGACTGGACCCTCCAGATCAAGTACGTGCAGAAAAAGGACAACGGGACTTACGAATGTCAGGTGAGCCATTTTCCTATAATTGAGATTTATATGATCAAGTCATCGATCCGATCCGGACTCTAATTTAGACATCAAAGGTCCCTTTGCTTAAGTGGCTCATTACAGGTTTTCTCAGTCGATCGATTACCACTTTTTCCTTTGACGTCCGCACAATCTGTCCTTTTTTCAATATCGAGTAGTATAAATATCGAGTAGTATAAAGAAGTAGAGGGAAATTCGATTGAATTTATTTAAAAAATTCTACCATAAGTCTTGAAATAGTACTCCTACATAAATATAACCTCCTAAAAAAGGTTTAAAAAAAGACATTTTTAAATAATTCATAGTTAAACAGTTATTATTATTTTATAATAGCTATAACAACAAGCTTACCATTTCTTTCCTTCTTGGCATATTGTTTTTTCCAATAATGGTAATTTGTGCAAAACTATTTGCAAGATTGTATAAAGCACTCAATTGGCATTTCAATTGTTAAATTTACCCAAAAGGTCTTTAAAACTATGTAAATACAAGACAAATAGAACCAGGAAAAGTTTAAATTTCAATAATTAATATTTAGATTCCATGATTATCGACTAACCACAATTGATGGTTGAGTATATGGATGAAAGGGTGTAGTCTTCTTAACAATTAATTAGCAGAGCTATGACAAAAAGTTTAATAAACCATCAAAAGCTAAGTATATTACAAGAATATATAATTGTAAAAAATAATACGCCTTGAACTATTTACTCAACGATGAACTTACTATTAATCAATATTTATTCTAACTCACCATAAAACTAAACCAAATTGATTTAAAACGTATTTTAATAACTATTATTTCTCAATGTACCTAAGTTCTTTAGTTGCTATTTTTAATATTATATTCGAATCTAACAATTTTTCACTTAAACTTCTTGTACCGTACTTCGCGTGTACCCACTTAACTACTTAACTTACCTACCCCTCTTGTACTTCACAGATACGACTTAAAACGGTAAGTCCCTCTTCTGGAAGAGGGGCTCAGCCATTCGAAACTCATCTCCTTACGTGTTCTTTGCTGTTACTAAACTGAGCAGAAAACAAAGTAAAACCAAATTTCATAAGAGACCAATTTAGTAGCTTAAACCTATTCCTCCAACGAGCTACAATTAATGTTAAATTTGATCAATTAATATTTGACCTGTTAAACAAAAGCGCAAGAAGAAACAGTATGTAAACAAACGACCTGCGATCGAGTCTTAGAAAATCGGTCTACATTTATTGAAGATAACGGGACAAAATTAGGGCGTTTCTTTTCTAAATCTTCCAAAATACATATTTTCTTCTAAAAACCGGTCAATAGTAGTAATTAAGTTGAAGAAAAAGTTGGCCCGCACCGTCCAAACAGAGGCGTTATCGCTTTCGAAACTATAAATTAACGCTTGAAATATTAATAACCTTAGGCATGCCATCCACTCGTTTTTTTTTGTTTTAAGCCGAACGATCCATTAGCACGAAATTTAGATTTGATTTTTTTTCTTGTTTGAACCTACACAACGCGATTACGAAATACTTACTTAATATCTCTGTTTGAAACACAGGAAATAAATGTGGCAATTTGTATATTAAATTTTTAACTGTACAAACTGCAAAGATAATTAAAAATGTATATGAACAGTGAATTATTTTGGTTCAGTTCCACCATGCATCTATTTAAAATATCAACGGCGATAAGATAAACTTAGTTGATGTAGATGAGGAAATTTTGCAGGGTGTTATCTTGATACCGAAACCAGTACACGTGTGTTATATGTCTTTGGTGTCTCACACTGGAGAGATTGGGATACCCTAAGTCGGAAAGGATCGTACCGTTACCATTTTACGAGGGTGATTGATATAGATAAGAAAAATATCAACTCACTGTTGGTGGTCATTTCGTTCCAAACTTTGCATCTTCGTAAAATAGTGAAAAAACCAGTTTCCCTCTGATGAAGTCGTCGGATCTACTGGAACGGCACAATGTGGAAAACGAGATTGGCATTCTCCTCTTTCAGCAATAGCATTACCGTTGCAGTACCCGTAAATGATATGCATATCAGCAAGATGTGCATTAGAAAACAAGGACATAATTTAAACCATCAACCTGAGGATATTGTCAGCTGATAACATAAAGCAAACTGATAGAACTGAACATTAAAGAACTGACAGGGAACTCAAGAGCCAGACGTATTTCCTGGAAAAACGTGACCCCCTTGATTAACACCAGTTTTTCTCAACAAATAATTTTTGGGCCTACCAGAAGCGCAATCCAAAAAGTTGGGTATACTACTGGAAGCTAATTAAGTGGAGAACTTTTGAGGGAATTTGTAAAGCTCCAGAGGTTTGTACCTATTAACAGTTACCAATCCAACAATTTAAAAAAATTCCAAATTTCAACGTTTTTGTATTTTCTGAATTTTTCGTGCAGAACTTTTTCATCAATTCTGCAATGGTTGCCTTACACCAAATTTAACGTACTTTCAGGTGGAACAAACCAGATATTTCTACAGTCAGTAATTTTGAAGTTTATGAGCAATTTATTGGGCCTAAGTGAACCTAAGTCGAAAAATGAAAAAACAAACAAAACCTGAAATTACTTCCTTACCGTTGAGATTTTGACAGGGGTTTATAGCATCTTTTTTGCTTCATTTGTCCTGAAATTGTTGACACTTATCGCCAGTTACCATGTATATATGTAAAACAGCATTGATTACAACTTCAACTAGACTACCCAGAAATAAAAAATAAAACATATTCATACTATCCTGCATACCTACCTTAATTAAAACCGCCAAGCAAAACAAAATGGCCACGGAAACGGTATCTGACTAAAGCCTAAAAGCGTGAACAATTCAGACAGTCGTGATTCCTTAATGACTTCTGGCACTGTGATACTTTACACAAAATTCACGGTTTACAAACATACATTTCAACCAATTCAATGTAATAATCAATCACGGTCCAAAAAACAGCCCTCAACCTGCTTGACGTCTACACTTTCCACAAGGACGTACGTAAATAACCCCCATTGCACACACTGAACTGTAACTTAGGCAAATTTATAGCTAACTCAAAACGTGCAGCCTACGTTATCTACCAAAACCTTTTCTGTTCATAAATTAAACACATTGTTAACCCACATTCCCAACAGATCTCAATATATGCTATAAAAATCTACGAAAATGTTTTTTCAGAAAAGTTTGTCTTACATACATCTACAATGCTGTACGAAAAACAACATGTTTTAAAATACTTCCATCGTAAAATAATTCGACAACACATCGTTCAAGCTCCTATCGAACTACCAGCCTTCTTCTTGCCTTATAAAAATTTCAAAAATAAATAAACTGCTAAAAGACTAAAATATTTAAAAAAACATGCTAAACCTGCTAATGGCAGGGTACATCGCGTAGTACATCTAGCAAAAACATTATTGTTGATAATGGGTTTTGGTTTGCGAGTCGGTGAATCGTGTTGAACCTGCACTCGTCCACTTATTGGGTCTGACTTCACTCGCGATTTTTTGTTTGAGTTATTCAAACGTGAACACAAACCCAATAAGTGGCCGTGTGCCGGTTAAACATGAGAAATATTATTGCCCGGGTGTCGTTCTCGATGTGGCTCGAACGCTCCATCTGGTACCGTTGTTTGTTGTGGAAGCTCAGAGCTTCATTCCTTTTACAATATTTTTAAAACTTTAACTGCTACATCTCTCAAAGAACTGCCTTTTCTTTTTATTATCCCCTTCAACCAAGTTTACCCAAGGAAAGCTTTCTAAAGCCCCTGCTCTTCACAATATACACAATCAACCTTTTCTCTGTACCACAATTAATTTTTGCAGACGACATTGCCATGCCATCAACTTAATAACATGATAACCTAAACCTAATAACATGATAACATGCTACTCTATTTAAACCTTCAGTTTTGGTCTTGCAAATGGTAGACAAAAATTCACGAAACTATCGATCAAGTTACTCCCTCGGAAAATTCATTTGACCAACGGTTAAAAGTTGTCAGTTGTTTCAATAGCTCTTCTTTACGCTTAAAGCGTTCTACTAGAGCCCAAAACTTTGTTAAGAGCTTCACTCCTAGGTTTTTCTTCTTCTAGCATTACGAATCTCAATTTGTATAGGTTTTTGAACCAACATGTCCTGCTGTTTCTACTTCTTTCGGGTAATATCTGCACTGGTATATTTCTGCTCCTTCGGACCTACGCATATGACTCCGGAGTTGAAGTATTCAGTCAGCAATCGTACTACATATCTTTTTAGATCTAACGCGTCCTAGATTTGATAGTTTGGCGATAGTCATTGTATGAAATTGTTCCGTTGTTTGTGTCCTGGGATATAGTCCTGTTGAACCGAGGACCTATTCTGAACCAATTGTCTGTCGGATCTGAGTTTTTGGGAATTTGTTTTGTCCCAAAAGAGTCCAGGCACTTAATCGGGCACGCTTTATCCTGTATTCCCTGGTAGGCAAAACAAAAGCATCTTACAGTTTATTTCAATCAAAAACCTATCCTAGCCTCGATAGGACACTATAGCAATGAAGAGGCGGATAGCCTTGCCATAGAAGGCTCTAATACTGCGTTTGTCGGGCCACAACCGGTATTACCTCACTATATAAGCACAGCGAAAGAGAGTATTAAATGGTCCAAAATCTTGGGGTTTGAGAACAAGTGCAAGAGACTTATGCAGGACACGTGAGCCGACCAAGTCCCGGACCTTTTAGGGATGGGGTACGAGTCTACCCAGACCCCTCGGGTCTTGGTCGCTCACCCTGAGTTATATATATATATATATACCGTTTATTTCAATGAAAAACCTATACTAGCCTCGATTTTTCAGCAAATCCCCAGAAATTTCAGTCACAATATTTCATGGGCTTATGCATCAGTAATTTTGAAGTATAAGAGAACTTTTTATTTGAATAGAACTTTCTGAAGAAAACGGGTGCAAGAAATTAAGTCTTACAAATTCGTAAAAAATGTACTA